CATATGTCAAACGCTTCCCTCAACGTGGAATACACTTCCTTTTAACATTATTGGGAAGAATTGTCCTAATGCTAGGAGAATCTCTTTTTTTGTCTGATTTATGTTGTACATAACATTCTTAGTGTATAGTTTTTTTCGGGCATAATAAACTTTTATTCGTTATGACCTGTTTTTAAGTTTCCATGCAATTTTTTACTCAGGTAAACTCCTTTATGCTGTCATTGACCATATACACACATGCATGTGCGTATACAGGCATGTATATGCATATATACAGTATATATACATTTATATACAGCACATATATATACACAGTATATTTACACACACTTATATATATATATATATATATATATATATATATATATATATATATATATATATATATATATATATGTATATATATGTATATATACATATAGTATATATGTATATATTTATATATTTGTATATATATATATACATATATATATATACATACATATATATATATATATATATATATATATATATATATATATATATATATATATATATATATATATACATGTATATACATATATATACATATATATACATATATATATATATATATATATATATATATATATATATATATATATATATATACATATATACAGTATATGTTCTAGGAAACTGCAATACTGCAGTGAATATCATCTTGTGAAAATGCCATTTATGTCCATACATTGTGGTTCATTATCGAGAGACCAGATATATCAGGGGAGCTTTGAAACTACAACAAAAATATGTTACCATATTATATATCATAAATATGGTATGAGACTTATAAACCCTATATCATAGTTCTTTCTCTAGGGATTATGAAAATACAGTTTTATTCCTCCGTGGCGATCACCATCACTTTGCCTACTTGAGCCAGATATTACAAATCTACAGAGATTAGAAAGAGTTGACTTTGCAATGATATAAACCTCGTAGTTACAAGCTGGTGCATCTGACACAAGGGATGCTTTGTGCCTGCTGCGTGAAGCTTGCAACTGAGGTCTAATTAGCTGCTGTAATAATGGTAATAAAAAAATGATAATGATGATAATTATAATAATGAAATTGAGAGTAATAATGATAATGCCAAGGGTAAGTAGAATTAAAAACTAATAAATATAATATGGATAAAAGAAAAAATGCAGTATTAATATATTTCAAAATTTAAGTAACGAATGAAACAATAATAGAAATAATTATGATTACTACTTTAATTATCATTACCGTAATTACTCTAATGATAATAATTACAAGCATGATAATAATGATTATCATGATGATAAAAATAATAATAAAGAAAAAATTAAAACAACATTAATGATGATGTTTATGATAATGTTGGAGATAATTATAATAGTAATACTGATAATAATTATAGCAATAATGATAAAATTAAATAAAAACAATGGAACTGGTAATAATAGGAAAAATAATGATAGTAAGAATGAGGATAATCACTAATAATAACACTGACAACAGTAATAACTTTGAAATAATTAGTGATAATAACTAGGTAATAGTAATAAAGCTAAAATAATATCAGTAATGAAAATATAAGTAGTATTAATAATAATGAAGTTAATAACAGGAATAGAAATGCAGATAATTATATTAATATCCAAACTTACAATTCTATAAATGCAGATAATAACAATGTAAATAATTACAATACTGTAAATAATAACAATAATGTAAATAATAACAATAATGTAATTAATAACAATAATTTAAATAATAACAACAAACCAGGAAATGATTGTTATCTAAGTAATGATAATATGAATAATGACAATATTATGATAATATAGGTAAAAAAAAACAAGACGGATTGTATTTATGATGGAGTTAATGGCCATGAAAAAAGAAAAAGGTCTGGTGATAATAATATTAAAGATAATGACGATAGTAAGAAAAAGGATAATACTTGATGACAATATTTTTTTCTTATATGAAAGTTAGAATAAAGATATTCTCCTCCCAACAGTACTATTCCCTCCATACCCTCCCACTTCCTCCTTCCCTCCTTCCTCCTTCCTTCCTCCTTCCTCCTCCTTCCTTTCCCCTGCCTCCTCCTCCTCCTCCTCCTCTTCCTCCTTCCTATTTCCTTCCTCCTTCCTTCCTCCTTCCTCCTTCCATCATACTATCCCATCTTCCTCCCGCCCATGTCCTCCTTCCTCCTCTTCCTCCTTCCTTCCTTCCTCCTTCCTTCCTCCTTCCTTCCTTCCTCCTTCCTTCCTTCCTTCCTCCTTCCTTCCTTCCTTCCTCCTTCCTTCCTTCCTTCCTCCTTCCTTCCTCCTTCCTTCCTTCCTCCTTCCTTCCTCCTTCCTTCCTCCTTCCTTCCTCCTTCCTTCCTCCTTCCTTCCTCCTTCCTTCCTTCCTCCTTCCTTCCTCCTTCCTCCTTCCTCCTTCCTTCCTCCTTCCTTCCTTCCTTCCTCCTTCCTCCTTCCTTCCTCCTTCCTTCCTCCTTCCTTCCTCCTTCCTTCCTCCTTCCTTCCTCCTTCCTTCCTCCTTCCTCCTTCCTTCCTTCCTCCTTCCTTCCTCCTTCCTTTCTCCTTCCTTCCTCCTTCCTTCCTCCTTCCTCCTTCCTTCCTCCTTCCTCCTTCTCCTTCCTTCCTCCTTCCTCCTTCCTCCCTCCTTCCTCCTTCCTCCTTCCTTTCTCCTTCCTCCCTCCTCCCTCCCTCCTTCCTCCTTCCTTCCATCTCCCTTCCTTCTCCTTCTTCCCTCCTTCCTCCCTCCTTCCTCCTTCCTCCTTCCTTCCTCCTTCCTCCTTCCTTCCTTCCTCTTTCCTCCTTCCTTCTTCCTTCCTCCTTCCTCCTTCCTTCCTCCTTCCTTCCTCCTTCCTTCCTTCCTTCCTCCTTCCTTCCTCCTTCCTTCCTTCCTTCCTCCTTCCTTCCTCCTTCCTTCCTCCTTCCTCCTTCCTTCCTCCTTCCTTCGCGCCGGGTAAAAAATGAACAAAAAATGGGGGAAATGCTGTGCTCATTTTTTTTTTTTTTTATATATATATATTTTTTAATGAAATTTCTCTACACTAGATGGCTCTGCTTTACCTGATTTCATTTGGCGGGAAAATTTATTTTTACGAGTGCTATGAATATCGATGGTTATTTTTATTATAAACATTATAATTACTATAATATTATAAACATTAGTAACCGCAAAATAAGATAACGCCAAATAATTTCGTAAATTAAAGAAAAGGGTAAACAGACGAGACAGGCAGAACAAGTGCAAGTGGAGCGAATGGGCCTTTAACCCAATCCCGCCGGGCATGCCATGCCATGGCCACTGTGAGATTACTTGTTCGATTGTTTTCACACATAGATGGCTACACTTGTACTAAATCACCAATGAGCCAGTTACGAGTACCGCCTGTCTCGCCCGTTTACCCGTTTCTTTGATTTACGAAATATTTTACGGTATCTTATTTTGCTGTTACTAATGTTAAAAAACATTATAAAAATTACAATGTTTATGATAAAAATAACACCATCGATATTCATGGCACTAGTGAAAAATGTGTGTTTCAAATCAGGCGCTAACAGAGCCATCTATGGGCAGACATTTAACAAAAAAGTATAGAAAATAGGCACAGCATTTTCCCCATTTTTTGTTCATTTTCCCAATGGGTTAAGAGCTCGAACTATCCCTCTCAGCTCGCACGCCTTGTCGACTATGAAGCAGTGGCAGCCCAGTATTACACTACTTTACAGTTATTACACATTACAAGATAATGACGATAGTAAGAAAAATGATAATACTTGGTGACAACAATTTTTTCTTATATTAAAGTTAGAATAAAGATATTCTCCTCCCAACAGTACTACCTCCCACCATACCCTCCCACATTACGCAGCCCAGTATTACGCTACTTAAAGAACCTTTAAGACCTGTGCTGGAACTGTTCCCTCTCTGCTTGCACGTCTTCCTCATCCTCTTCCTTCCTCCTTCCTCCTTCCTCCATACTATCCCATCTTCCTCCCGCCCATGTTCTCCTTCCTTCCTCCTTCCTCCTCCTTCCTTCCTCTTTCCTCCTTCCTCCTCCTTCCTACCTCCTCTTCCTCCTTCCTCCCTCCTATTCCTCCCAAGAGACTAGCGTAAGTCCTGTGCCAATATCGCCAAAGATTAGCTTCCGCAGACATGGCCTCCCTCAGGTTGCTGGGGCGTCTGTCCATCCCTGCCCGACCATGTCAACCTCTTCCCTGTCAATGTCAGAAATGTTAGCGTTTTTTTTTCATTTTGCAGTTGTGGTGGCCGCCGTAATGCATTTCATAGGAGCTACTACGCTGCCTACAAGCTCGAATCTGGGGAAAGCGAGGAGGCCGCTGGCAGGAGAAAAGCCACTGCTTCCACTGATTCCTCCAGTCTGCGGCCGTGGGCATCAGCGAAGGAAAGACGACCGATCCATCTGATGTCAGAGAGCAGATACAGAGAGAGAGACTGACAAACAGAGAGAGAGACAGAGACAGAGAGCAAATACTTCGTCGACATACCTCAGCCAAACCGAAGGACGAAGGGAGAAGAGCGAAGTCCATGAACAGGTTTGCCAAGACTGGAGAGAGGGGAGAGCCCATGGCAATTATGTGTATAATACACATACATATATATATATATATATATATATATATATATATATATATATATATATATATATACATATATATATGTATATATATATATATATATATATATATATATATATATATATACATATATATGTATATATATATATATATATATATATATATATATATATATATATATATATACATATATATATGTATATATATATATATATATATATATATATATATATACATATATATATATATATATATATATATATATATATATATATATATATATACATATATATGTATATATATATATATATATATATATATATATATATATATATATATATATATATATATATATATGTATATGTATGTATATATATCCATATATATCTATAC